CCCAAACATGCTAAAACGGTTTGATTATATTCATGAATCCTGAGCCATATCTCCCTGATACTTTATGCTAGAAACAAACTGAGCATACCGTTCAAAAGAGTGGAAGATAAGCTTTCATCTGATGCATTGACTGTACATGTAATTAGAAAGTAAGAGTGAGCAATGCCTCTTAATTCATAGGTAGGCAAAAAAAAGAAAAAAAATATATAACATTCCATTTGTAATCGGTAACATTCTTTACCCTTTGTTGTTGTTAAAATAAACAAATTACCATGTGAAGTTAACTTTTACTAGATGAAATCATATTTTGATCATTTTCACTAACCATACAGTCCCTATGGTCCATAACAAATTTAGAGGGAATTCAATTTCAAGCCTATAATAGCCTGTCAATTCAAACTAGTTCCAAGAAAGAAGTTAACCATTAACTGATGTTTATGTATTTACAGTATATAGTTTGCATATTTATGCAATATATATATTATTTGTATTGCAATGTCTAGTATTTGTAATATTCTTTCACAAGTGGGATAGCTTTATTCTATCAAAAAAAAAAGGATTTGAGGATTTTGGGTTAGGCTGGTTACTGAGTGTGAGACAAAGGTACTGACAACTAAATGTTGAAATACTAAAACACACAGGAATCATGTGTGGAGTAGTTTTAAAAGTATTTAATGATTAAAACTGTTACATTAAGCAGCAATTTGTAAAAAAAAAAAATAATAATAATTAATGAAACAGATTACAATTCAGGGTGATACCTAATTTCTATAATAATGTTTATACAATTTGTTTTTGCTGTTTTCGGAGTCACTGCTGCTGTCGCTGCTCTCTAGTGTTTCAGGATGCTGAACAACTCAGCATGCAGCATGCAACCCCTGGCAATGGCATCCTATGTAGCATGGAATTGCCCTCTTTGCACAGGAGCAGTTCTTCTGACAACCTTTAACACAACCACATATATTACCATGGCCAATGACACAGGCCAGACAGGCTGTGTAGATGGAATTGGAACTTCAACTGCTTGGCCCTCATCCAGAAATCATCCAAAATTCCTGAAGGGGGGAATTTCTGGCTTGGCAATATGTGCATTCTTGTCAATAATGGTTGCCAGAGCTGCCCGTTTAAGGTGGAAGAGAAATGCGTTTTCAGTCGGAGGAAGTAGCTTTAAGAGTGTTGATTTGTTGTTCAATAACTTGTATGCTCTCAGTGTCCCCAGATCAGAATCTTCAAAGTGATCAGCTGAGGATGTATACACATCTATGATGAGGCCTCGTGCCTGGTGAAGCAGGTAATCTGTTATGTTATCAGTTGTATTTTGACCAAACTCTTCAAGTGCAGGTATGTCCATTCTCATGCTGCTTTTGAACCAAGACTTCTTACCAGTGAAATAAGGATAACTAGTTGTATCTCTTCCACTAAGACTGTGGACAAATGGCATAGCACAGCATAGTGAAGGTCCCAGTGCTGCTACCATTTCATGAATGGGCAGATAGGCATTCTCTGTTGTTCTCACCCACAGCTCTGGGAGAGTAATGAGGTATGTTGAACCATAGTACAGGCACATGACAATGATTTCTGTGTCATTGGCATGGATGACAACTCTGCCAACTCCTTCATTCTGGACACTGTAGAGGGTGTGGAGTATTATCCTTGTGTCTGCCTCCTTCTGTGTGGACTCAAGAGCAGGAACATCCCTGACAGAACCATCTGCAAGCACAACGGTCTTTGTCTCTTCTTTAAATCCACCACTCAGGTAGATACGAGTCAGGCCAATTGGAGGCTTGAGTTGTTCATGCTCACACCACCTCTCACAGAGGAATTGAAGGAGATTTGCTTTATTGGCTGATACAGAAAAAAACTCCTGTGGATCTGGAGCTGTGAACTGCTCACTAACTTCATATACTTTGGCAGATTTTAATTTTTTTTTAATTTTTAAGTTAACAGATCATTGCCAGTGGTGGAGAACACAGGAGTTTTTTTCTGTATCAGCCAATAAAGCAAATCTCCTTCAATTCCTCTGTGAGAGGTGGTGTGAGCATGAACAACTCAAGCCTCCAATTGGCCTGACTCGTATCTACCTGAGTGGTGGATTTAAAGAAGAGACAAAGACCGTTGTGCTTGCAGATGGTTCTGTCAGGGATGTTCCTGCTCTTGAGTCCACACAGAAGGAGGCAGACACAAGGATAATACTCCACACCCTCTACAGTGTCCAGAATGAAGGAGTTGGCAGAGTTGTCATCCATGCCAATGACACAGAAATCATTGTCATGTGCCTGTACTATGGTTCAACATACCTCAGTACTCTCCCAGAGCTGTGGGTGAAAACAACAGAGAATGCCTATCTGCCCATTCATTAAATGGTAGCAGCACTGGGACCTTCACTATGCTGTGCTATGCCATTTGTCCACAGTCTTAGTGGAAGAGATACAACTAGTTATCCTTATTTCACTGGTAAGAAGTCTTGGTTCAAAAGCAGCATGAGAATGGACATACCTGCACTTGAAGAGTTTGGTCAAAATACAACTGATGACATAACAGATTACCTGCTTCACCAGGCACGAGGCCTCATCATAGATGTGTATACATCTTCAGCTGATCACTTTGAAGATTCTGATCTGGGGACACTGAGAGCATACAAGTTATTGAACAACAAATCAACACTCTTAAAGCTACTTCCTCCGACTGAAAACGCATTTCTCTTCCACCTTCAACGGGCAGCTCTGGCAAGCATCATTGACAAGAATGCAGATATTGCCAAGCCAGAAATTCCCCCCTTCAGGAATTTTGGATGATTTCTGGATGAGGGCCAAGCAGTTGAAGGCAATTCACATTTGGCTAAGCCACGCCCCTAGAATGTAGATTGACCAATCACAGCCCAGCCAAGAACCAGCTCCCACAGAGGTCCGACACTTTTTGACAGCGCTCCATTGACTTTCAACACAGGCGTCTCATATTTTTGGTCTCGGCAGGCTATTACCGTCGTAGTTTTATCAAAATATGGTTAAACGTTGTGCCTCGGGCATTTGCAACACAGATACGCGTTTCCCAGAGAGGTTGGAGGGGGGTGTCCGTTTTTTCCCTTCCCAAAACCGAAGTAAAATCCTGACAGTGACAAGTCTCGTGTTTGGATTAAACTGTATGGACGTCCTCAGTCAGCTAAACCCCGCAAATATCAACAAGCACATCTTTTTTGCTTCTAACCTTACTGTGAGTGTGAAGTTATACTAGTTAGACCGTTTTATAATGTTTTAGGTTATGATTTCGGTTCTCATACTGGTTGTTGATACGCTAGCACATGCTGCTAATAAATACAATGTTATACAGTACTCGTGTAGTCCGTTTGCTTTGTAATAACGATTATAGAAGTGAATAGAGACCTACCCAGCTTTGCATGAACAGTGTTGCTCCCTGATATTGTTATAGTCCCAGCCTCCGTCTCCATTAGTAGGAAATGCGATGGTTCATTTTTTTGACTGTGACCGGTAACGTTATGCTTTTGCCTCTATTTTGGATGCCTTGTTGTTTCTTGCGTTTCACCTGTGTGTCTTGAATATAGCCTCTGAACGCATATTGCAGCCCTTTTGCCTACTTCTATCAGACACTTTATATGCTGCTTTATAAAAGTTTGATACCATTTCAGCAGGAACAGCTGTTACAGCATAAGCCATGCAGAGCGCAGATGAAGTTTGACGGATGTAGCAACAGTAACTAAGGGGGGCGGGGCTTAGCCAAAGGTGAATTCCATGCTACATAGGATGCCATTGCCAGGGGTTGGCAACCAAATGTAGTAGGATACAGCATGCTGAAACACTAGAGAGCAGCGACAGCAGCAGTGACTCCGAAAACAGCTATACAACTTGTATAAACATTATTACAGAAATTAGTTATCACCCTGAATTGTAATCTGTTTGTCTATTTCATTAATTATTATTATTATTATTATTGTTTTTTTGTTTGTTTTTTTGTTTTTTTTTTTACAAATTGCTGCTTAATGTAACAGTTTTAATCATTAAATACTTTTAAAACTACTCCACACATGATTCCTGTGTGTTTTAGTATTTCAACATTTAGTTGTCAGTACCTTTGTCTCACACTCAGTAACCAGCCTAACCCAAAATCCTCAAATCCTTTTTTTTTTTTGATAGAATAAAGCTATCCCACTTGTGAAAGAATATTACAAATACTAGACATTGCAATACAAATAATATATATATTGCATAAATATGCAAACTATATACTGTACATACATAAACATCAGTTAATGGTTAACTTCTTTCTTGGAACTAGTTTGAATTGACAGGCTATTATAGGCTTGAAATTGAATTCCCTCTAAATGTGTTATGGACCATAGGGACTGTATGGTTAGTGAAAATGATCAAAATATGATTTCATCTAGTAAAAGTTAACTTCACATGGTAATTTGTTTATTTTAACAACAACAAAGGGTAAAGAATGTTACCGATTACAAATGGAATGTTATATATTTTTTTTCTTTTTTTGCCTACCTATGAATTAAGAGGCATTGCTCACTCTTACTTTCTAATTACATGTACAGTCAATGCATCAGATGAAAGCTTATCTTCCACTCTTTTGAACGGTATGCTCAGTTTGTTTCTAGCATAAAGTATCAGGGAGATATGGCTCAGGATTCATGAATATAATCAAACCGTTTTAGCATGTTTGGGTGATTCCGGGGAGTTAAAGCAGAATTTGAGGTAGCATTGTTTTGACCCTAATTACAAGTTTCCAGCAGCTTGTTCACCGGGTTGTCCACCCAGGTTGCGATCCTCAGACATCATAGATTTCATTTTTATATGACAACCTTTTACAGCAGCCCATGTCTGCTAAACCCCCTTTGCCCCCTGGGTATTCCTGAGGGGTTTGAGGACCTCTATCATAAGAGCGGAATGAATGTGCGGTGGTGTGTCAGCTGCACTGGGGACACAGGTGTGTCATTGTATGTGGTAACAGATGCAGATGGTAGTTTGACAGCTTACCTGAGACAGCTGATAGAGACAATCCCACCACAACAGAAGAGACATGGAGAGAAAGATGATAGAAGCATTTCATTGATTAACATATCATTTAGTAAGTGAGCTGAATGTACACACCTGTCAGGTGATGCTTAACAATTTGAACAAAAACATAATTGTGCCAAGTTTAGCATGGGTAAGGACACACACTTTCTTGCAAAAGATTCAAAACAGTATGAGCATGAACAGTATGAATTCAATAACGAATGAGCCATTATATAAACAGAATACTGGACTTGGCCAGAAAGCTTTTAGAAGCAGACACACACATAGAGATTCAGAAATCAAAGAGCACATCTCTGTGTTTGACTTATTTATACTCTTCCATCTTTCACCCCATCACCCCTGGTCTAATGCAGCCCCCCGAAAAAACACTTTATTAATTAATAAGGGCAGCATTATTCAGCTCACACTGTTGCTGTTTTGAACTCTAAACACTCAGGTTTGATTAAATAATGAATATCTCTCTGTCAGCGGTCTGTTTCATACACTCTACAGAGGCATGTTTCAACGCAAAAGAGCTTATAGGATAAAAGCCTGTCAGGGCCATTAAACCACTACAGAATGTTGTATATGGGCACACAACACAAAGCATGCTGCAGTACTATTAAGATATTTTGGATTTTGAGATAATTTTAATGAAAATGAAGCATATTTTCCAAATAATAATCATTACCATAATGTTTATCTAGACTTTTTTTCAGACATTTTTACATACACAAAGGTAAAACTCATAACTCCAAAACAATAGCAAGGAGAGTCAAAAGGTAGGTATCGTTTGATAGAAAACGGTTTAAATGAAAAAAAAAAAATGTAAAAATATTAAAGGAGTTACTGTCTGTTTCTCCCTCACTTCTGCTCCGAGGTCTTGATTGTGGCATTTCGGTTTAGAATCCAGTATTCCTGTAATTATTGTTTATTTTATGAATTTAATAAAGAACTCCGTCTCGTATTGTATTCAAACGGTCAGTGTAATTTTGTGTCTATTCGTTTTTCCTTATTTAACCCGTAATTGCAAAGCGAAAAATTAAGTTGTTGTATTTTTACAACGCAAAGTTGAACACCAAAATTTTAATTTTACCTGTACACAACAAATGCTGCGCAAAAAATAAATAGACGAATTTTCAGATTTTTGTTTATGACTTGTTGATGCCCCTTTATTAAACATTTAAAATATTCACAAATTAAAAATAAAAAAAGTAGATTTTACTGGTTTTCTAAGGCCAAATTAGAACCTGGAAATTATATTTTTCTCACAGTGCTGAATGAGAAGAGCCATAGAACCACAGCCTACAGAAAGGTGATTTATAGGTGAGTATAGGCTATAATAAATGTGTCTGAAAAAATAACAAGGCATTTTGTTTTGTTTATTGTTTATTATTAAAAAAAAAATTCAGTATCGGCTAAAAACATATCTCTATCTCCGCTGTAAGGCGGATGCACCAAGAGAAATGCACCTTTCTACAGATTACATAATCAGAAGGTATTGGCTTTTGATTCGAATTTGTTTGTTTTAAAGGGGACATTTTAGTTCTAGCGCTTCAGTTCACGGATATCATGAAACCATGCCTGAGTGTTTTATTATATTTTACAAAAGCACAACTTTTTCTTGTTATTGTGAGTTTACACAAATAAAAGTAGTTGCGAATAATCCATTATTTTCTGTATGATAGAGTATTTGAAGTTGTTTCCACTGTTGATAGGAAAATTCAAGTGTTCGCTCCCACTAAGCCTAATATATGTAGCCTAATAAATATTATAATAATGATAATTAGGCTATTATTATTATTATTTGCGGACACAGACCCCAAACACACCCCGTCTTTTAAGTCAGGTGACTGTACTGTAAATGCATAAAAACCTGTTTCCATTGCAGTTTTGCGAAATATTTCTTTTTCGAATTGCCTGAAAAACGACCTCATGCGACCGTTAAATCTTTTTAGAGAGTTTTTGCGAAATTGACGTGTTTCCATTGTGCGTATTTTCAATTCGCAATTTCAATTTGCGCAATTTGAAGGGTAATGGCGCGTTCACACCGGACGCGAATAGCCCGTCAGGCGCGAATGATTTCAATGTTAAGTGAATGCAAAGACACGTTACGCGCGTAAAAAATTCCCGCGGTGCGATTGAGGCGTAGAGCGCGGTGCGGAAGACACGAATACGCCTCATTCGCGCGTCAAGTTCGCGCAAATTGAGCGTCTAGTGTGCTAAGCGCGAATGATTTAGTTAGTCTCATTTGTGCATTTACACGTTTGACGCGAATTCGCGTCTGCCGCCCGAGTTGAAAAATCTGAACTTTGGCGTCAATTCGCGCCGCGTTAACCAATCAGGAGCCTAGCTGCTTGCTCACGTGGTGAAGTGTCTGGATGCTTCAATAAATTATTTTGTAATAACTAAATGAATGGTGGGATTATGCACAACAAAGCAAATATTTTATCACTTAAAACTTTATTTCTATATACGAGACATGTTCATTTTGTATTGACAGTTATTCATTCCATATCTGGATTACATGAAATAGTATTATGATGTAAAGACAACCAACATACATGTGCATAAGTTCGTGTCTGGACGTGAGAAAAAAAAAAAGAAAAAAAAGAAGAAAAAAAAAGAAAAAAAAAAAAAAATCACAGGACAGGTTAATAACTTTTGAAGGCTGGCTCTATTTATCATCAAAACAAAAATAAATGACAGCTAGATTAGATGGATGAGGGCGAGGGTGATCTTCGCTCCAATGTGGGACAACAGGTCATCAAACTGGGCGCGTGACAGGCGGAAGTACCGCTGACAGCAGCCGTCATCCAGCGCAGCTCCTGGAGCGAGCAAATGGTGAAAACTAGCCAAACGGTTCGCCTCCCAAGGGTCCGGTGGACACAAATATACGGCGACGATGATCCCCACGCCGCTGTTCTAGCTCTCCAGAGCAAATACAGAGCAGTGACTCTCTCGATTAATGCTCGGTCGACATAAACAAATGGCCGCCAACGGATTTTGATTCTGACTTGCGTCGCGCGTATATTTCGCTTCAAACTTTTGTTTTTACACGCTTCAGTTTCACTCTTGACACGCGAATTAACACAAAGTGGTCAAGCGTCAAACTAGACGCGTCAGGCACGAATTTGACGCGCTATTCGCGTCCAGTGTTAACGCAGCATAATGGAAACGCGGCTAGTGATACCTTGTTTGTTTTGATTCGTTCGAAATTGACGCAAGCATTTTGCAGCACAGATCAGCAGCAGGAGTCAGATTTCATTTATGATGTTTGCCATGCTTTTCATTTTGCAAATAAAGCAGTCTTATTCGTTTTGTTAATAAAAGTTCTGTTTAATATAAGTGAGTTTGTCATTGTACTGTTTTGTAGTTGTGTTTTTCATTAAGAATAATGAACCCACCATTCAAGCAAATGCTGCCCCCGAATTGCCGGTAATTTGAAAGTAAAACGCGCACGGCTGCACGGGCATTCGGAAGCAATTTAAAAGCGAGGTGGAAAGGAGGGAAAAACTTTAATGTCCAACAGTGTTTCTACCATGGCTTTGTATGATACAGATCATTTGATATGTACTGAGAATCTACACTGTAGCACCACAGTCAAACTGAATAGTTACAGTATATGCAAGTTATATTAGTGATATTCTGCTCTTTCCTTTGCTTCGGCATTTGTCGGTTTAAAGCGTTGGAATATCAGATATGGAAGAAAGCACATAAGTTTTGATCTAAGCAATTCTCTGTAAGATTCAGTGAGTGACATCTTCTGTTTTTCAACAGTAAGACATTACAACAGGTTTCATTTTAATTAAAACACAACATTACAATTTATAATTTTTTCACTTTATCAAAAAGTGCCATTTATATGAATGAGTCATTGTTTGTCAATTATAACTGTGATAACTCAAAGTACTTATTTTAATATGCAAAACTATGTTGTTACCCAACTATTTTTACTAAGTCTTGAATGCGGCCCGCCTAAATCGAGTGTTCGAAAGAGAGGGTCAAAAACAGGATAGAAAATAGCTTACTTTTAAATTAGGATGATTGTTTTATCTTAAAATTTAGATAACATTATTAGTGGACCTCAGATAACATTATAAATGAATAAAAAAAATCATTATTCAGTATAGTTCAATACCCCTTTTACAGCATAACTAAATAATGTATACAGTACATTTAATTTAATGTAATATAATACTATTTTACTATTGGTTTGGGGTGAAATATTACGAGAACATGTCTTGACTAAATTTGCCATGGCAAACCAGTCAAACTGGATTGAGTGGTTTAATAAATATTATATAAACTCACATTCTAATTGTATGTGTAAGTAGACTTTGATATACTCTCACGCTGCTATAAATTAGTGTGATGGTCATGATAATTAAGAGCTGAGTGTGTCCACAAATGGTGAATGAAAAAGGTCAGCCAACTGTAAAGCAAAATGAACAGGGCATTTGAACTCCCCGGGTGACCGCGCAGAGTTACATAACTTCACACTGGCTACAACCAGTGTTACCTCCTGGCATGCGAGGACAATCTTTGTGAGTCACACTTACTAAGAATTCAAATGAAACAATAAACATAGTGAAAAACACTTCTCTTATGTGACTGATATTAAAATTGTGATGGCCGCATTAGGGATCATATCACTAAAGGCCAGTCGATCCTCTGTGCTATTGTTAGAGCGGTTAATGGGATGGAATGAAATGCTCTGGCACGTTATCTGAATCGAGCAGCTGAGAAAGTATGACATGAGTTATTACACGTCTAAATTTTAATCATTACGTTATGCTACTGTGTCTTTTTCAGTCACACTTCTAAAAGGTTCAAGTTATTGAGTTTACCTGTGGAGCAGAGATGTTTAGGCCAGGACTCAACAGCTCAAACTTCTCCTGTGATTTATCCCGGACGAGACGAGCAGCCTCCTTAAACTCTTTAAACTGCTCTGAGAACTGCACAGACAATTACAGTGACATGATTATAAGTTTCAGTGACATTTTTTGAGAATATTTAGCAATAAGTTAAAAGAGGCCATTCTATATTGTGAAGTTAGGTCAAGTCGCCTTTAATTATATAGCGTTTTATATAATATAGGTTGTTTCAAAGCTGCTTTACAGTGGTTAACACAAAAAATAACGAGTCAATTTGGCTGTAAAGCAGCAGTAAAAAGACAATAGTACACAGTCATAAATGTATGTACACCCCAAAATGTTCTCTGAATCTCTTTTAAACTGTCACTTATGCTACATAGTCGATAAGAAATAACTATCAATGGTCAAATTAACATTCATAACTGTTTTTTTTTGTTTGTTTTTTTGTTTTTTTGGTTAGCTTAAAAAGCCATGTGGTTTAACACCTCTAAGGTAGTCATTAGCGAACATTAGCTCCTCAAACAGATGACACTTTCAAAGCATGCAGCTTTTGGTCAATGTGACGAATACGTGCGACCAACTTGATACTTTTGCCTTTACATGACGTTTCCAGCCCTACAACAAATTCGCGGAACATAATATTCAGCTAACTGTTTAACTTTCTACAAACCCAATTCCATAAAAGTTGGGACACTGTACAAATTGTGAATAAAAACAGAATGCAATGATGTGGAAGTTTCAAATTTCAATATTATATTTAGAATACAACATAGATGATATATCAAATGTTTAAACTGAGAAAATGCATAATTTTAAGGGAAAAATAAGTTGATTTTAAATTTCATGGCATCAACACATCTCAAAAAAGTTGGGACAAGGCCATTTTTACCACTGTGTGGCATCCCCTCTTCTTTTAATAACAGTCTGCAAACGTCTGGGGACTGAGGAGACAAGTTGCTCAAGTTTAGGAATAGGAATGTTGTCCCATTCTTGTCTAATAAAGGCTTCTAGCTGCTCAACTGTCTTAGGTCTTCTTTGTTGCATCTTCCTCTTTATGATGCGCCAAATGTTTTCTATGGGTGAAAGATCTGGACTGCAGGCTGGCCATTTCAGTACCCGGATCCTTCTTCTACGCAGCCATGATGTTGTAATTGATGCAGTATGTGGTTTGGCATTGTCTTGTTGGAAAATACAAGGTCTTCCCTGAAAGAGACGATGTCTGGATGGGAGCATATGTTGTTCTAGAACTTGGATATACCTTTCAGCATTGATGGTGCCTTTCCAGATGTGTAAGCTGCCCATGCCACACGCACTCATGCAACCCCATACCATCAGAGATGCAGGCTTCTGAACTGAGCGCTGATAACAACTTGGGTTGTCCTTGTCCTCTTTAGTCCGGATGACATGGCGTCCCAGTTTTCCAAAAAGAACTTCAAATTTTGATTCGTCTGACCACAGAACAGTTTTCCACTTTGCTAGAGTCCACTTTAAATGAGCCTTGGCCCAGAGAAAACGCCAGGCTTCTGGTTCCCGTTTAGATATGGCTTCTTTTTTGACCTATAGAGCTTTAGCCGGCAACGGTGAATGGCACGGTGGATTGTGTTCACCGACAATATTTTCTGGAAGTATTCTTGAGCCCATGTTGCGATTTCCATTACAGTAGCATTCCTGTGTGTGATGCAGTGCCGTCTAAGGGCCCGAAGATCACGGGCATTCAGTATGGTTTTCCGGCCTTGACCCTTATGCACAGAGATTGTTCCAGATTCTCTGAATCTTTGGATGATATTATACACTGTAGATGATGATAACTTCAAACTCTTTGCAATTTTTCTCTGAGAAACTCCTTTCTGATATTGCTCCACTATTTTTTGCCTCAGCATTGGGGGAATTGGTGATCCTCTGCCCATCTTGACTTCTGAGAGACACTGCCACTCTGAGAGGCTCTTTTTATACCCAATCATGTTGCCAATTGACCTAATAAGTTGCAAATTGGTCCTCCAGCTGTTCCTTATATGTACATTTAACTTTTCTGGCCTCTTATTGCTACCTGTCCCAACTTTTTTGGAATTTGTAGCTCTCATGGAATCCAAAAGGAGCCAATATTTGGCATGGCAATTCAAAATGTCTCACTTTCAACATTTGATATGTCATCTATGTTGAATTCTAAATATAATATTGAAATTTGAAACTTCCACATCATTGCATTCTGTTTTTATTCACAATTTGTACAGTGTCCCAACTTTTATGGAATTGGGTTTGTATTTTAGCATACCTTAGTCACAATACTTACAAACATAATAAAAATAACTACAGTAATTGTTTGGTACAATGTACTTATTGTGTTCATGTTATATTGCAAAACATCTTTGCTGCTATTGAGGTGAAACCTAGCAGGTTTGGTGTGATTAGGTTAGGGAAAGGTCAACAATGTAATTACATATGTCATTACAGAAAAGAAATACAGCTGTAATAACATGTAGGTATTTTGTTAAATATAACTACATTGTAAAACATGTATGTACACGTACATGTATTGTATCAAATTATTCATTTAAATGTTAGTACATAGTTTAATATGAAAAAACTGGGGAGTATCCCTTTAATCACCTACTATGTTATTCGCTTAACTAAGACGAGTTGATACATACCTCTGTCATCTCAGTGCGTCTACTCAATCGCTTTGGCGCACGAGACACTTTGATAGCACTTAACTAGCCCAGTTCATTCAAAATGGGCCAAGCAGAGAAGCGACCAAACACCTCCACGTATTCCCTATTAAAATACAGTTACACAAGTAATGTAACTCGACCTAGGACAGAGACAAAATAAAACGTTGCATTTTTCTGAGTGTGTAAAGTGGATAACTATATTGTATGGTAAGGAATAGCACAGCAAGTGCTTGGGAGCACTTCGACTCGGCGCAGTAATATTACTCGTGAAAAGTCCTCTCTCCCCTCTCACTCTCCGGTGTGATGATATTACTGTGCCGAGTCCATAGATAAATATGCGCCGAGTCGAAGTGTTCCCAAGCACTTGCTGTGGTATTCCACCATACAATATAGTTATCTACTTTACACACTCAGAAAAGAGCAACATTTTATTTTGTGTCACCGTCCTAGGTGGAGTTACTCTGCTTGTGTAACTGTATTTAAATAGGGAAAACGTGGAGGTGTTTGGTCCCTTATCTGCTTGGCCCATATTGAATAAACTGGGCTAGTTAAGTGCTATCAAAGTTACTCACGTGCCATTGAGTGCACGCACTGAGATAAGAGAGGTATGCATCAACTCGTCTTAGTTAAGGGTATAACATAGTTTAATATGAAAAAAACGGTGGAGTATCCCTTTAATATAAACTGGGACCCATGCCTCTATCCAATTAGCTGGCATAATTCTGATAGTCGAGTCAAGTCACCTTTATTTATACAGTGCTTATTGTATTACAATACATTGAAAATAATACAACAAAGTTTGTTTCTAGAAGAAAATTGCATCAACGTCCACCTTAAGTAAGGCATATGAATAGTATTGTTGAATATTAAATGTCCCCATGTAATAAATTAATGTTATCTTTGCATACTGATATTCAATTAACTTGCAAGATTAGCATACCATTAACTAATCTGCTATGTTGTTTATCTATCTATCTATGAAGCACTGTTAGCCGATTAATGCATTACTACACGGCCCTATACTTAAAGGATTAGTTCACTTTTGAAAAAACTTTTGCTGATAAATTACTCACCCCCATGTCATCCAAGATGTCCATGTCTTTCTTTCCTCAGTCGAAAAGAAATTAAGGTTTTTGATGAAAACATTCCAGGATTTTTCTCCTTATAATGGACTTCAATGGGAACCAGGTCCAACCGAGGTCCAAACGACAGTAAATAACAGTTTCAGATGCAGCTTCAAATGTCTTTAAACGACACCAGACGATGAATTAGGGTCTTATCATGCGAAACGATCGCTTATTTCAAAGCTTATTCCAAAAATGTAACTTTTCTAAGGACAAATGCTAGCCTTGTAATATATTGTGAGGCGCGTTTTCAACGTCACGTAATACGCAATTACGTTCAAAAGGTCACGGGCGACGTAGCCGGAAGTACAGAATCAAAATCGTCCGACATCGTTGTTTTACCTTTTAATTCCTTTTTTGTAAACGGCGTTTGAGTTAGTTTGCACGTTCAACCTATGCGTTCAACTTGTAAACACTCTGACTCTGTACTTCTGGCTACGTCGCCCGTGACCTTTTGAACGTAATTACGTATTACGTGACGTTGCAAACGCGCCTCACAGAATGGAGAAAGGCTAGCATTTGTCCTTAGAAAAGTTACATTTTTGGAATAAGCATTGAAATAACCGATCGTTTCGCATGATAAGACCCTTATTCATCGTCTGGTGTCGTTTAAAGACATTTGAAGCTGCATCTGAAACTGTTATAACTGTCGTTTGGACCTGGTTCCCATTGAAGTCCATTATAAGGAGAAAAATCCTGGAATGTTTTCATCAAAAACCTTAATTTCTTTTCGACTGAGGAAAGAAAGACATGGACATCTTGGATGACATGGGGGTAAGTAAATTATCAGCAAAAGTTTTTTCAAAAGTGAACTAATCCTTTAACTCTGATTGGTCAATCACAGCACTTGGGTCAAATATTCCAGACTAAAGACATCATTGGGCCCTATTTTAACAACAGGTAAAATGCTCAGTGCGCCCAGCGCATGGTCTAAAAGGCTTGTCCGTATTCTCTTAATGCGTAATGGGTGTGTTTTGGGCGCAGCGTGAAAAAAACAACAAAAACAATCAGTGTAATTTCCCATTTCCTTTAAAAAACATTTGCGCTCACGCCATGACGGATTCGCCAGTTTGCAAGCAAAAAGACGCGCCTCCAGAGAGTAATCGGTCTGCTCATGCGAGAGGTTGAAGCGCACAAGCAGACCATCTACCAGGACAAGGATTCTTTATGTATACAATAATAATCTTTTACACTGTAATCCTTTTATTTTTAATATTTGGCATGTTTCTGTACTACTGCGCATCCCTGTGTGTGCAATAAGCAGAGGATCCGCCTATAAGCGCACATTACTAACGCACTCTTTAAATTAAAAAAAAGATATTGCACCATTGACCAACAAAAATCTGGTCGAGTCTATTTCAGTTGCCTCAAAATAATGATGCACCAACAATGCGCCTGAACACACCTCGTTTCAGACCAGCACGGCCATGGGCAAAAAAATGGGCGCAAATAAATTTGCTATTTAAACAACACACACGCGGAGGATGTGAAAACGAGAACTGCGTTGGGCTGAAACTAGCAAAAAACACTTGCATCGTGCATGGCTCTGCATTTTGCTTAATAGGGCCCATTCAGGTGAGCTAAAAATAGATTTTTGGTAACTCTTTACAATTTGTTAACTGCATTAGTTGACATTAACTTCTACAAAATGCATTTACCTGCTGAAGCTGCTGCTCTGTGGCAAACCCAAGGCCATACACTGTGTTCGCCCTGCTGTCCGCCCACTGGCCAAACTTCTGTGACGTTTTCGTGAAAGTCATATTAGGTGTGATGGTGCTGTTGATAATCGCCTGTAGTAGAGCAAATATCAAACATTTTGATGAATAAAATCAAGGTGCAAATAACAAAACTGTAATTTTCTTATTGATAATTGGATCCCTGGTAGCCGAGGTCTCTCACCTTAGTACCTCCTACGCTGATGATGCGATACACACTCCTTCCAGCATCATAGAAGAAGGAGACTGTGACGGCGTGTTTGCTGGCCGGAATCCAATTTCGTTTAGTGTCCGGGTCAATTTGGAAGACGTGTGCCTTCATGCTGAAGAGTGGCTGCTCACTATCAGGAGGAAAAAACATTAGGATGCCATCTTTACTGATGTAGGTCGATATTATATGAGAGGTGCGATCACAAAAACAGCAGCACTTGGACTGAGAAGCCCCTAATGAAAGGTCAAGAGCGGGACATCAAAGCCAGATCTGATTATGAACATCGCCAGAGAGTGATCTGTGACCAGACCTGATTATGAACATCGCCACATCATCTTTTCATCAAATCAACACGAGATGATTATGGATGGATTAAATCAAAGATATATTTCTGTCCTGTGAGAAGGGCTAAGACTGTTCAACACTGATATAGATAGAGGAACAAGAAGTATAGAATAGTGGATCAAACCTGAGTCTGCTAACCAGATGGTTGCTGGAGATCAGCATTATGCCCTTAAACACATCAGTAGAAGTGTCTGCTGAAGGACTACTTACCACGATATGTAATCCAGAGTAATCCAGCAATTTTTACAATTCAGTCCAAACCAAACACAATATATGAAATTAACTACCTTTAAAAAGTTTGGGTTATTAATATTTTTGGATGTTTTTGAAAGAAGGCTCTTATGCTCACCAAGACTGCATTTATTTGAGAACAAATAATAAAAACAGTTATTGTGAGTAATTGTGAAATACTATTGCAATTAAAAAATAACCGTTTTCTATTTCATTCCTGTAAAGCTGAGGCTCAGTGTCACATGATCCTTTAAAAATCATTCTAATAAGCTGATTTGTTGCTCTAGAAACATTTTTCTTCTTATTACCAATGTTCAAAACAGTTGTTCTGCTTGAGATTTTGTGGATTATTTGATGAATAGAACGTATAAAAGAACCGTATTTCCTTATATAAATCTTATGCATTGCACATTAAACCGAACATCCATAAAAAGTGGCGTTTGAGTTCAGTACTTCTGTTTCACGTCTTATGAATTGTGTTCTTATGGATTTTGGAAACCAAGACCTCAAAAAAAATCTTTACAGTAAGAAGATACACAACTGGTAAAAAGCTTGGGGTTATTATTATTCATTTATTTATTTATTTTTACGAAATCAGAAACGAAACTTCTATTTAGGAAGGGCACAATAAATAACACCGTCTCATTCCAAGACGTCATATAACTGACGTCTTGGGACGTCTTTTGACCATACGTCAACATCCGCCATTTTAGGGTACCCTTTAACGTCAGTTACATGACGATCCTGGGACGTCATACAACTGACGCTTTAACTTTAACGTCAGTTAGGTGACAGGGTAGGTTTACGCCTGGGGTAGGGTTAGGATCCGATAACGTCATCTAACCGACGCTAAATGGTACCCTAAAATGGCGGATGTTGACGTATGGTCAAAAGACATCCCAAGACGTCAGTTATATGACGTCTTGGGATGAGACTGCGCTGCAATAAACTGATCAAAAGTTACAGAAAGACATGTATAAATGTTACCTAAACAACCAACTTTCACTATATGGACGAATATCTTCACTTTTTTTGTTTCTGGGGAATAAAGTAAACTATCCCTTTAAAGGGATAGTTCACCCAAAAATGAAAATTCTGTCAGTATTTACTCACCCCCCCTCAACCATGTTGTTCCAACCCCGTAAGACCTTTGTTCATCTTCGGAACACAAATTAAGATATTTAAGATATTAAGATCGCTCCTGCATACTAGTCCATAGGCTTCTTGAGGGGATGACACTTGCTGGCATTGAAAAGTCATCAAAGACATCGTTAAAATAGTCCAAGTGACTACAGTGGCTCAATTTTAACTTTATCAAATGACAAGAATACTTTTTGTGCGCAAAAACAAACAAAAATAACGACTTTATTTTAACTATTCATTTCCTTCTCTATGGGCCTGTAGTCAGTTAACATAGTGTGATCGCGTAGAGCTACGTCACACGTAGGCTCACTATTGGCCGACGCTGGTCATGTGTGTGATGCGTGTGACGTAAAATAACAGAAGCATATGCTATTAAACTAGTAACCTGACTCGAGGCAGAGGGAGAAATAACGAATAGTTGAAATAAAGTCAAAAAGTGTTCTCGTCGTTTGATAAACTTAAGATTGAGCCCCTGTAGTCACTTGGACTATTTTAACGATGTCCTTTAATGACTTTGAGGCCAGCAAGTCATTCCCTCAAGAAGCCTATGGACTAGTATGCAGGAGTGATCTTAATATCTTAAATATCTTAATTTGTGTTCCGAAGATGAACGAAGGTCTTACGGGGTTGGAACAACATGAGGGTGTGTAAATACTGACAGAATTTTCATTTTTGGGTGAACTAACCCTTTAAAATAACTAGATTCACATCGCTCTCTGATGTGTCGTCTTGCCCTCTTGATGTGCCCTCTCTCTGCCAGCCAGAAGTCCACTGCCAGAAAGTCATGGTCTGATTCTAATGGCAAATCAGTGAGTAATCTTTCATCGAATTTTACCCATCAGTACACTGAGGAGATCAGATTCATATCAGGCTTTGCTCTGGCACATCAGCCCTTTCCACACAATGCTGAAGGTCACACCTGTGTCATTAGTGCTGTGGGTCCATAGCAAATTCTGGGTCCATCAATCTTTCCTGAATTAAACCTCCAGAGGCCAAAGAGACATTTCGGTAATGCTTAATCACTCTGGCATTCTGGGAAGGTTATCTAGGACAGAAAACCTCCGGAATAGGGGGTGCAGGTGCTCCATGCAGAAACTGTTTACCAAGCACTTCTGTTGCACAGTACGATATATACAAAAGATCTCCAATCCAACTTCGACAGTAATTTCACAGCCAAGGTCTTCATACAGAGACTAAGCCTCCTGGATTGTTCCCGAGACTCCATATAATCTTTTTTATGCCTCTAAGATCAAAGATCTGATCATATCCTGCAAATACTGAAACTAGGAACAGCAGAACACGCAATAAACAGGATGGAAAGAGACAAGTCTTTCTATTAAGGAGGCATCACCTGCTGGGTAATAGCGCACCCTGTTCTAAAATTTCACATCTTATTTATGTGATCGTCTGACCCAATTACGAGGAAATCTCCAATAGTGCCAAATACAGAGTGCCATTTTGAGCCCATCTGAGAACAGCCAATCTCAGTTTATTTTTCTCGCCTGCACAAAAACAGAGTATTTAAATCCAAGTCAATAAAGCCAGCCGGTCATGCACCTTCAGTATACTTGCGTGAAACGAATACGTTGGGTTATGAGCTTCATAAGCATTTTTATCTAAATGCAAGATGAGGTCAAACCAGATTGCATTGCAAAGACAAGCAAAGAATCCAATTTTATTTTCTCAATTTTCAAATTGACCGCACACATAAAGCTAAAATATAGGGGAGACAAGAGAGTGGGGTAAGATAAGCCTTTTTTTATTATGTGGAACTCAAGATGAGAGAAAATTAGAAGTACAATGAGAGTAGGCAAAGTAATTTTAAATCAAAAATTGTAAAGATAATTTACCTTTTTTTTTAAACTAATTTAATAATCAAATTTCCTTTTTCCAAATAGTTAGACTATATTCATTTCTTAAAGCTAACTTTAATAAAACCAACCAAATTAAGCTGAAATTTCAATCTCTTTAATTGCATGCATTTCTGAAACAATATGTTGATCACAAAAGTTATAATGTTCCCAACATCAGGCGAAACAGAGTTTGTGGAGTAAAATTAAATAAAACGTACTTCGTTACTAACATAACCTTGGTTCCCTAAGATGGGGGAACAAGTCTTGCAACGCTAGACCTGATGGGGAAAATATTTAAGTATTGAAGGTTTATTGAATCACGCAGTGAAACTGCACAAGCCTATAGCAGTGCAGCGGATCTGCACGAACCTGTGGCGTTGCACCAGAACTGTGCGAACCAGCCGGTGCGGAGCCCGCCGAACCGGGTACTGCAGCCTGCCAGAATGGGCAGAGCATCAGTATAACGGGCTTATATCTTGCCATGGAATTCAGATTAACTCGATTGAACTGAAGCGAAGAATGCAATGAAGAAAGTCGTGTAGCATAACGGCAATACCAGCTACACAATACTCGTTCCCGTTATCTCAGGGAACTGACGTTATGTTTATTGAAGTTTATTGAAAGGATTTCTGGTACAAGATTACACAATCCTCTATTCCAGACTCTAAAAGATACAAACTAAATGCATATACTCAAATTCACATTTTGATTTTTTTTTAAAAAACACATTAATTTCATAACTTGAGGTTTCTCCAAAATAAATTACATAAAATTAATTACTTAGTACAGACAAACTTTATAATTATACATAACATCTTTTGACATGCAAAATGCATCCAGCCTATACTTAAAGGAATTTATAGAAGGGGAACACACAACTTCGGTTATGTTTGTAACCGAGTACATTCCCTATCAATACGGTTCACTCGTATTACATTGGTAGACACGACGGGAACACAATCCAATCACAACGTGCTATAATTGCAGAACAACAACCGTTTTTTTGGCCCCAGCCTAAGACATTTGGGGATAAGAGCCTTAAAGGTAGTAGGGCTCAGTACTCACCCGAGATTAAAGGTTCCAGGCCCCAGACCATCAGGTCGAAACCTAGAGGGAAAGGTTTGTCTGTACATCTGTGCATGTCCTCTTCACCGAATGAACTAATTAGTGGGTTGAGCTCGCTTGGAGGTCAAATCCCAAATAGACAGGACTCGTGCATGTAACGCAGGAAAATCCAAGTTGTAAAACCTGGAAAAGGTGGACGGTGAGGATCAGCCAACCGCAGCACAGATGTCGCCAATGGATACTCCACTGGATATACGACCAGGAAGAGGCCATACGATGCAAGGTGGAGTTTGCTTTTACACTGATGGGTCACTGAAGGCCCATTGAAGTGTAAGCCAACGCAATGGCATCCACTATCCAGCGGGATCATCTTTGCTTCGTGACTGGATGCCTTTTGGTGCATGCTCTAAACTTAAGCAAACAAAGAGCAGTTCTGACTGTCTAAATTGGACAGAGCGCTTTATATATTCTCTTGAAGATGAAATGAACTGAAATTTAAGAAAAAGTGATAACAGATGTTTTTTTTTATTTATTCTCATTGGTACAATTATTAAAATGGCAGAATTTGTTCAAAGGGATAAAATGGTACGTTGAAAATGTTGTTTTTGTTCCACAGGCGCCGCCATGTTGGATTTCAACATTCGCCTACGTCACTGGCATGGTATGCTACTCCATTGCCTACCCACACCAGCAGAGCAGCCGTAGCTTGTAAATAGTCTGAGGCTAGCTGACATGGTTGAAGAAACAGAAACCAACAGGTCAAGGGGGATTCATATGTGTGACACCATATGTGTGTTCATATGTATATATAATGTCTGCATCAAATGTTTTATTTAGTCAAGTTACAAGTTCAACGCATGACGTTACTCGAATCGTTGATATTCGGCTGAGGGGAAAAGATCCCTGATGTAAGTTATAGTTCACGGTACAGGGTGGGATTAGAATCCTATTCCTCCTCCCCAAATGCCCCCTCGCCCATAGAGTGAACTGCCAGTACGCTGTTAACCTAAACAGTCTGAGAAAAGGACGTAACAAGTTAGCCAAGCCAAGTCGGCATTGGCAATTCGTAAAATACCCTGCTACTTATGAGGCGCTCCAGCGCCCTCAAAGGCTCAAATGCGTAACCTATGCTGTTAAAATTGCTCATTTTCGTCTGTGTATATAGGACCTGAAGCTGTTGTCTATGCAGCTTCACGGGTTCTACTATGCCAGTGACATCATCGAAATTGCCAGCGCAAACAAGCGTAATTTTTGTGTTGCTTAAAAAAAGCTATATTCAGACTGATCTCATGAAGTAGCGTGTATGACACGCCAATTCGTATTTCCATTTTTGGCGTCAAGACGCATAATCGCTTTTCAGCGTGTTTATGAACGCTGTTGACTTAACGTTATTACTGTATATATAAATATATGACTTACCTCAACCCCGTCCCTAAACCTAACCGTCACTGGGGTTAATGGCATTTATGACAGTTCCCTTACCATCCTAGGAAAAAAAAAAAAGATCGCTCCCCATATGTAGATCTAAATTCTGCTTTGTTTCGCACGAACATTTGATGGCGTGTACAGACACGCGGAATCACTCGGACGTTAATGGCGTAGACATACACGCATACACGCAGATAGCTCAAAATGCATAGAGATGACACGCCACTTGACTCGAAAGTGGCATGTATGTTTACGCAAAAGTCATGATGTCATGTTGCTATATTAATGTTTTTTATTATAATGTTTAGTGTCATTTACTTTTAATTGTCATAACACGTTTTCAAAATCATTTTTTTTCAGTTCAGTTCATCTTTAAGGCCTGAACATGGCAGAATGTAATTCTTGCTCATCTTCCGAAACGGTAAGAGCAGAGTAATGACCTGTGCTCTGAATGGAGTAGAGAGTACTCAGGCACATAGCCATGTCTTGGTTTAAGAACGACTTTACAGTCATTAGTCCTAAACTCAAAGCAAGATGCGCTCACAGAGAGCGCTTGCAATTCACCCACTCGCTTGGCTTGACGATGCTAGCAAAAGGGGCCATAGCTCAGCCAACAACAGTGGCTCGAAGAGGGGTCTTCTGAGGGCCCTAAGGACTTTCGATGTTGGAGGTCGCATGTTGGAATGGTAAGGGAACGAGGCGGGTTCAGCCTTCTGGCCGCCTTCAGAAAATTAACAACTAGATTGTTCCTAACTAGAGATTGGCCAGCCACAAGAGTGTGGTATGCTGTTATGGCCACCACATAGACTTTGAGCGGGTGAGTCCTGTGTCCATCAGTTCCTGTAGAAATTACAGTAACAGCAGCACGTCACAGGATGGCCAGGGAGCTGCTGCTAGCAGTGAATCAACTGCATCAACTATGGCTGGTTCTGCCAGAGAGGGGCCACCAAATGGACTGCCCTTCCTGATCCATTTGATGACCTGAGGGAGCAGTGCAATATTTTTAGGCTGCCTACTCTGAACAACGCTGTGAGCTGCCAAACCGTCAGAACGGGCTCTGGCGTGAGCCTGGCCTGCATCTGGACCGAATCGAGAACTGCTCCCAGAAATGCGATTTGCTGGCTGGAAGACAGTGAGCTCTTGGCTAAGTTGATCCTGAATCACAGGCATTCCAAATGGCTGAGGAGCAAGGATCTGTTAGTATTTAACTCTAGATCCGCTGCAGTGCAATAGACTTGGGCAGTTTCAATGCGTGATTTAATAAGGCTTCAATATTCAGAGAAAAGGGAGTTTTTCCCCCATCGAATCTAGTGACGCAATACAAATGAACTGTATCGATAGGGAACTGAATTAGAATAAATGAATACATTTCACTGAAACTAAGTTTAGCAAAGGTTCATGGTAGTGTTTCTGCAATGTCAAAACATGTAAGGCGCACTGGCTCATCTTACCCCACTCTCCCCTAACCTTTACCTAAGTTATTGTAGGAAGGCTTACCAAACAAATATGTTTCTTTATTTTTTGTAAAATATATTTTTTTGTAAAATATATTTAATTCTTCAAATCAATATGTTGTTTGTGTGGATGTAATGAATGAACGGAGATTTCTGGCATGCATCACAAGAAAACTGTCGGGTCTCACACTGAAAGATCCATTTATGACATTATGATTTAAAAAAATAAAATAAAAACATTATCTCAATTGTATTCAAAAAAAAAAGAAAAAAATTGAAACATGCATGAACTAATTGTTCACAATAAGATTATTCAGAATAATTTAGCTGTGATAAGAATTCCCATTTCATGTCGACAAAGGAATTCACATAAATTAGATGACCATAAACAATTTCCAAAAGTTTTTTTATACAAACCATGTGAGAGATTTAACTTACCCCTACTGAACCATGTGTTAAGAAATTCACACACAGTGTGTGTCTTAATGAATTGTCCCAAATAACCTGGTTATTCTTTTCAGTCATAAAAAAATATTGAAAAGGTAAGATGCTTCTGGCGTCCCACAGTTTAATTTAAACGATAAGTTAAAAGCTCTTAAGAAAAATGTAAAATCTGGAGATGACGACATTTATAATGTCACATGCATAAGTCAGTCAATAGATTGTCTGTTCGTGCATAATTAAACAGTAATGAAACAATAAATACTATTAAAATGAGAAAAAATAGAGGAAATCTTCTCATAAAACAGCTGAGATGCTGCGTCTCAAAATCCAGTGTGCTGCCTAACTAGTAAACAGCATTTTGTGAAATTGCTAGCGCTTTAGGCATTTTTCAGCAAACTCAGAACGCGTCTTATGATGCCTAAAATAATGTCTAGTTAGACAGTAACTTTGAAACCGTGAGCTCGCGCTCGCCCCTTTTCCAAACTTACGCCGTCCAAAATATGATCCAAACTAAAGTGATTTACAACTGTCACACATTGGTAAGTGTTAACTCTACTTTTTAAAAAGATATGACCTACGATGTTCAAGACAAATCGTCGTCGCTCTTCTGAAATTTGTAGTAAAACCTGTTAGGAGAAGGAACTCACCCCATTTGCAGAGAAGAAGTAAATCAGTGAATTTCGACCACTCCAGCTTACTTTCCCTGCTGATCCACGGAGGACCGGATTCAGTTCGGTATGTCCTGTTTATATAGCGACAACCAGAAAGCAATGTAAGTGTCAAAACAGTTGTTGTGCTTTGTTTTCTCCGTTATGGAGTGTTTTTGTGGAAATGGTGCTCTCCTTTGTCTAGTGTCTCTGTTGGCTCTCGGTTTGTTGTGCTCCTCATAATCCTATTAGTTTATCTCCAACCGTCTGGCTATTTCCACGCTGTTGGAAATCTTGAAATAAGCGTGCACTTCTGATGCTGCGTTTCGTTGTGTCCTCATGGTCAAATTTCTGAAGTAATCTGCTCCTCCTGAGTACTACAGCGTTCACTCATAACACTGACTGACCTACCCCACTCCTTCATGCTAATGAAATCTGTTGCCCCCTGCTGGCCACGGGACGCAGGAGCAGGTTCTATCTATCTATCTATCTATCTATCTATCTATCTATCTATCTATCTATCTATCTATCTATCTATCTATCTATCTATCTATCTATCTATCTATCTGTCTGTCTGTCTGTCTGTCTGTCTGTCTGTCTGTCTGTCTGTCTGTCTGTCTGTCTGTCTGTCTGTCTGTCTGTCTGTCAATACTTTCTGTCAATACTATCTATCTATCTATCTGCCTATTTTTCTTGTTAATATCTATCTGTCTGTCTGTTAATACTATATCAATCTATCTATCTATCTATCTATCTATCTATCTATCTATCTATCTATCTATCTATCTATCTATCTATCTATCTATCTATCTATCTATCTATCTACCTATCTATCTGTCTCTCTGTCTGTCTCTCTGTCTGTCAACACTATCTATCTATCTATCTATCTACGTATCTATCTATCTATCTATCTATCTATCTATCTATCTATCTATCTATCTATCTATCTATTTATCTATCTATCTATCTATCTATCTATCTATCTATCTATCTATCTATCTATCTATCTATCTATCTGTCTGTCTCTCTGTCTGTCAACACTATCTATCTATCTATCTACGTATCTATCTACGTATCTATCTATCTATCTATCTATCTGTCAATACTATCTATCTGTCTGTCTATTTGTCTGTAAATATTATTTATCTAACTGTCTGTCTGTTAATACTATATCTATCAATCAATCAATCAATCAATCTATCAATCTATCTATCTATCTATCTATCTATCTATCTATCTATCTATCTATCTATCTATCTGTCTGTCAGTCTGTCTGTGTGTCTGTGTGTCTGTCTGTCTGTCAATACTGTCTGTCAATACTATCTATCTATCTGTCTATTTGTCTGTCAATATTATCTATCTGTCTGTCTGTTAATACTATATCTATCTATCTATCTATCTATCTATCTATCTATCTATCTATCTATCTATCTATCTATCTATCTATCTATCTATCTATCTATCTGTCTGTCTGTCTGTCTGTCTGTCTGTCTGTCTATTTGTCTGTCAATATTATCTATCTTTCTGTCTGTTAATACTGTCTGTATGTCTATCTATCTGTCTGTCAAAACTATCTGTCTGTCTGTCTGTCTGTCAACACTATCTATCTATCTATCTATGTCTGTCTGTCTGTCTGTCTGTCATACTATCTATCTATCTATCTGTCTGTCTGTCAATACTATCTATCTGTCTGTCCATTTGTCTGTCAATATTATTTATCTAACTGTCTTTCTGTTACAGTTTTTCTCCGTCGCTTTGGTGCATTTCTCACATCACTATTTACATTTGCACAACAGTTAATGCAGTTCTCAAAACAGTTAGTACAAACTGCAAAACTTAGTTGATAACCTGCAAAGGTGTGTCACTTGCTCAAAATGGATAACTCATTCCTCAAAAGCAAGTATCCATGTCATTGAAAGTGTCAGTGTCATCAAGATGAAAAGTCCTATCACCAGTGTTTATGAACAAGATAGTCAAATGGCTTTGTCATGTTTTCATTATGACAGTTTACTCTGTAAGTGTTTGCCAATGCAAAAAAGTCAGATCTTGGTGACACTATACCTAAAAATGCTCAAGACAGTCCTATAAACTATTTGCACAGCCATTTGAAAACTACAGTAAAGTTTCACATTACTATATTTAGTGAGGTACAGTAACTGAGTACAAGACACTGAATATGTATGTTTCACATTTTTACTGCATAGTCTTTGCAATTCTAATTTGTTCAGAGCATTGTGCAAAAGAAAAAATACACCCTTATTTACAACAAACATACTGTAAACTCTGTTTGGGTAGATCGGTGCACAACTGTAAACAACATCACAGTACATATTGAAACTGAACATACAACATACATATACTGTAAATCATTCATGCACATCTCTTCTCATCTGTGAAAGCTGAGGTTCACCTGCGAGAAATTGTTCAATTTAGGATAAAATATGTTTTTTTTTTAAAGATAAAAAAAATTGCTTGACGGATTTTGACAACTAGTTCAACATTTTTGTATGTGATGACTTAAGCAATGAAATGAGGACTATTAGTTTTATATGGAATGACTATTCAACATTCACAAGTATAGTTAATTTGGACTGATATGACATAAGTAAATGATAAAACAGCAGAGAGTTGTATGAAAGCAATTGATGCATGTCCAAAAGCATTTGCAATTTGCTGGAAGGAATGAGAAACTGCTACTATGATGTGCACAAATGACTAAAAGTTGTGGAGGTTGAACTAACTGTTGTGCAAATGTAAATAGTGATGTGAGAATCTATATATCTATCTATCTATCTGTATGTCTGTCTGTCTGTCTGTCTGTCTGTCAATACTATCTATGGAAGCTTGCTCTTATTCTGTTTTGATCCATCTGTGCACTATTTTATGTTAGTTTTTCTTAGTCGCTTTGGTACATTTCTCGATTCTTTCACGTCATTTTTAAGGCAAGTGGCAAGGAAGGCAAGTGCATTTCTCAAAACAATTTATACAAATAGCAAAACACCATGGATTACCTGTAAAAGCCAGACTTTTGCTCAAAATCCTTAGTTCATCTCTCAAAAGTAAATATCTGTGTCAATTAACAGGTCAGTGCCATCAGAATGACCTCTTGTCATTGTGTACAGAATCGGATAACACAGTTAAATTGCTTAGTCATGTCAATATCAGTGTTCTCTGGAGAGATGTTCTGATGTAAAATATGGATGAAGTTTTGATGACAATTATTGTAAATTGTAGGTTACACCTTGGTGTATGTGGGAGTTTGATTGCAAGAGTTACAAGATTCACGCTTGCGATACAGAAAGGAAAAGACAACACTGCATAGCACAAAGAAAAAAAAAGTTGAAATGTGAACAGGACAGATTTGGGAAAAAAAAGTCTAATGGAAATGTATATAAATATGCTTGACATATTACAACTTGTTCAACCATTTATCATGTAAAGACTTATGCTATATGAACTAATGCCTAAATGTTGTGGGGGGCGTAACTATTCAACAGAGACCCATTATAATACATTTTGATCAACATGAGATGGCAATTGATAATGTAGGAAACAGCAGAGAATTGTTCATCATTTGCATGGAGCATATGCACCTTCTTCAAAGAAATGAGAAGTGCCACAATGATGTGACGATTGAACAGGTGGTTTTGAGGATTTCAATTCTGATCTGAGAAATGTACCAAAACGACTGAGAAAAACTGTAAATGCTTTATTAATGTGCTTTTTTATGTTTTATCTCACACTTACCTGTAATCACTTTTACTTTGTTCTTTTCTACTCCTTATAGATTCTGAGGAGTTGGAGTTCTTCATTTCTGATTAATTCCTGTATGTCCTGAGCAGTAACGTTCACTCATCGAGCACAGACAGAGGCAGCAGGAAGCCACAGCTCAGACTGGCAAAGTAAGGTACTTTTGTGAAGACAGAGGGCAGCAGCGCTTCACTTGTGTATCTGCAAGGAGAATGCTGTTCTAACCACAGATATCCATAATAAAGGCTAGATGTCTTACGGCGAAGTCTCTATGTCATCACCGGTGGCCATCTTGTCGCAGGCAAGCTTTCTGGTGGGCTCTGTGGTAGCTGAGTGATCAGCACTAACACAAATACTCTTATCTTTTTGAAATCTTGACAGATTTACAAATGGTTTGGCTTCTTACAAACATTATTAACGTGGCTGTAATTCTGGATGATCAATTGATCAACTGACTCAATTCACTCTTTCTCCTCTTCACCTGTAACTCTTGTGTGGTGAGCTTTGGAGAGCTAACGTTGTACTGTGGCTTTGGATGTACAGTAAATAGCTAAATGCTTCATTCAATCAAACCAGCTGTGCTGCTTAATATTTTTGTGGAAACCATGATACATTTATGGGGGTTATTTTTAGGATTCTTTGATGAATTCAAAAGAACAGTTTTTTTTTTTGTTTTGTTTTTTTTTTGTTTTTTTACAAAAACACTTTGCTTCACTTCAGATGGCCTATACTAATCCACTGGAGCCGTATGGATTACTTTTATGATCGATGGATGCACTTTTTGGAGTTTCAAAAATTCAGGATCTACTCAATGCCATTATAAAGGTTGGAAGAACCAGGATATTTTTTTAAATATAACTCTAATTGTGTCTGACGGCAAAAATTTTTTTTGATATGTTTTAGCTTACCTCAAGGCCATCCAAGATGTAAGTGTCTTTGTTTCCACAGTATTTTCAATTTTGAGATTTTTTTGGTCAAACTGGTGTTGTCTGTCAGTCATATAATGCAGTTTTAGGGGGTCCACCTCAAAGAGCATGCACAGAGAAGTCAAAATTAAACATGATTTAATGACTCGTGAATTTAAGTACACACTGATGTCCTAAGACACGAAACGAGCGGTTTGTGTGAGAAAACGAACAGTATTTATATAGTTTTTACCTCTTGTTAACAGCCGTCAAACTGATCTGAATCAGATGTCCAACTGAACCGAACTGAACCGTCTCCAGACGTTACGTCGGAAGTGATCTCTCGCGCATCTACGTCACGCATTTTTTACATGGCGATTTCGTAAGTTTTACTTTTCACTAAACATATTTAGATATATCGAAATCGTCCCGTATATCTAAATATGTTTAGTGAAAGGTAAAACTTCCGAAATCTCTGTGTAAACAATGCGTGACGTAGACGTGCGAGAGATCACTTCTGGCATAAAGTCTGGAGCTTCTTATACTGTCTATGGTAAAAACGATATAAATACTGTTCATTTTTCTCACACAAACCGCTCATTTCGTGTCTTAGGCCATCAATGTGTACTTAAATTCACGAGTCATTAAATCATGTTTAATTTGGACTTCTCTGTGCATGCTTTTTGAGGTAGACCCCATAGACCTCCATTATATGACTGACAGACACAAACGCTGTGACCTAAAAATATATAAATT